GTTTCAGTAATTAAGAATTTAATTTTTCATTTAGAATTGCTACTTGGCAAAGAAAGGAATCCATCATTATTAATCGTCTCATATACACCTACTATAGATGCAATCAATTTTCAGTATTGAGAAGTTTAATATTTTCAGCCGAAAGCGTTAAGCCAATTATCATTACTTTAAAATGCCGAGAGCAACGGAACAAAATTCTTAATATCGAAAAGATAATTATTCGGGGTTCTTGTCGAATTAAAAGTGTAAGTTAAATGTACATTTCACGGAGTTAACTACAATGCAATATAGATCAATCGCTGAACATCAAGTGATTTCCCTGGAGCGCTTTAAAGCCTCTCAACCTCTATGATTACTCAATATCATATAATAGCGTCTCGTTGAGCAGTTCCATGCGATTCTTTCCTGATAGGGACGTGGAGAAATCCTTTTTTTTTATTATACAAGTGATTTTAAATTTAAATGTTGTTACAGCGATAACTACTTGTTATTTTCTTAAAAATTATTCTGCACAAAATCAAAGGATAAAATCCTCTCGTCCAGAAAAAAACAGCGATTCCAGGCGGGATTTAATTTCCCATCCCCCTCTGTTTGTCTGTATAGTTTACAGATGACGTAATTGCATCAGTGTTTATCCGTTTTCTCACTTCGTCGTTGGCTTATTACCAGCTTCATTGCTCTTTTTACCACAAGGTCTTTCGTATTGTGCATTCCAGACTAAACTAATTTAGACGTAAAGTTCGAAATCGATACAATAAGGCGTGAAGTAGAGAACGATTTCGAATGAGTTTTGTTTATGTACCCTCTGCAGTACCACCCCAAGCGACAACGTATTCTGCCCTCTGATACTAAAACTTTAACGACTTAATTAATTTAATGGACGCAATTAGTTATTAATCAAGATGAAATTGACACCACATCGCGAAAATTGAATTATATATCGATTGATGGTTACATTATAAACTGCTGTGATGTCGGGAATTCAGTTCTCGTGTTCTGTTTCTAGGTAAAAAGAAGAAAAAAAAACGGTGTAAAGTTAATTAGTCAAAACTGTTCTACATGCATATTAGTACGTGTTCTTTGGTAAAGATTTATTGAGCAGTTTTTTGTTTGCATTTTTATATGTATTTCTGTGTAGTGCAACACTACAGTAACGCTGCGCCTGTGTAGATGTGTAGCTTTCAAAGATTGATTCTTTCCGAGAAAACTTCAAACATGAATTAATTAGTTCATATAGTTAGTTTTTGGACATTTTCGATAAGCAATTGTAAAAACTAAAAGTGTAATGTTCTGCAAGCGTTAAATCAACGTTAGTGCAGGTGGAAATTTTATTATTCGGTGATTACTGATTAGTACAGGTTTAAAAAAGAGACAGACAAACAAACGTCAGACGACAGACCGACGGAAATGGAATACCGACATTTTCATATTGTTCAAATTGTAAAACAGCGAGAGAACCTGCAATTATTATTTAGATGTTCAGAATGACCGTATTATAATATATCTCCTTTGTTTACGCTTGGGAAACAAAAAGTTTCCAGGTATGTTATTTGTTTCTGCCGTTTACAAATTATTGAGCTTTTCCTCATGCGTCGTTTACGCTGTTTACTTCTGCACATTAGATGGTAACTTTTCTGCTCGTTAAACTTGACATTGCAGTGTATCAAGCTTATACAATTGTTTGACATACAATCTAATTGTATCCCTTTGTTTTGATCCAAAAGAGCGTAAATGTTTACGGCGTGTTGGCTATGTCCTACGTTAATACACTCTTTCTCACTTATATAATATAGTTAGTGGGTAGTCCCACAAATTATTTAGTTTTAATAATTGTACATATAATATATAAGTTGCTGGTAAAAGTATTACCTTCACTATTCCGTATCTGAAAATATCTTAACCAAATAGTTTTGTAAATAGTTTCTAAGTAAAATACTAGTCCCCCAGTCTCCATGTCTTTTAGCTTTAATAAAAAAAAAATACTCTACATAATTTCATCATAGATACTTTGTTCTATATAGTCTATTTCGACTGAAAAAAAAATACTGCTCTTTATTTACATTTTGTATATTGAAATATGTAGTTCGTGAGAGTGGAAATAAACACTCAAAAATGCAAATGAGTTTATTTCATTAAACAATCAGAGTTGGATGGAATCACAACAAAAGTAATGCTTTTATCTGAAACTTTTCCACCAATTCCATCATTTTGGTGAAATCCGCACAATAAAATTTTCAGTGTTTTCATGTGAATGGCGGCTGATTTAAATTTTATATTTTAAAAGCAAGCCTGGGCATTGTGTTTGAGATAAATTGAAATTAATGTCATGCGTGAAAAGCGAGCAAGAGTAGTTCTTGTTGGGTGAAAAATCGATGTCAGACGTACCGAAAGTCAAACATGACGAGTTAATTATGAAAGAATCACTTTACCCAAACAAGTTAGTGCCAAACGTCTGTATAAACACACGGGGCAAGTTTATTTTACGATTTTCTTAAGAGAAAACGTGCCAGTCGCTCTTTAATAAACAGGTTAAGCTATTTCTTTTTATTGCTTAATCAATATTAGGTACATTAAACTCACAAAGTACTAAATTTGTTTGTCACATATTGTCGCTATAAAGAGAGTTTGAGACTTTTTTCGTATAATTCGTGAGGTTAATAAATAAGCAATGGCTGTGAAGATTTTAAAATTTTCGAAAGATAAATGAAAAAAAGGCGCCAGTAGTTATTTACGCATCAAGGATATTATGCAGTACTTCAGATAATACACGTGGTACATACAAAATTTTATGTCGTGCTGTGTAGTTTTTGATCTTTACAAAAAAAGTCATCTTTGTCCATTCTTTTGGTTGCATTTACTCCAGAAGAACTACTCGTAATTTATTTCCTCGCATTTAAACAGGTAATTAACCTCAAAAATATGTTTTAACAGTTTTGTTATTTGTTGCTGACGAATGATTTTTACAAGCAGATTAAATTTTCCCGAAACCAGCAACACAAGAAGTAATAGTTTCCAGCCGATTGCAGTTTTTTGTTGACGTTACTATGGCAACTATTCTTAATGCCCTGGGGTATTATTTGGTCAATAACGTACCTCAAATCCAAGCCATTATAGATCAATAATAGATCCGTAAGACATAAATCAAATTTAATAATCACTATAAAATCGATGCTGTTTTCAGTTAGGATTTACAACTGCTAACTCTTAAGAAATGGATTAATCAAAAGTTTTTCAGCTACTTGTAATTTGATTCAGTTAAATACAAGGTATTTTAAATACATATAGTATATTAAGTATCAAGGGATTAAAAATGTTTTTTGTTCCTGAGGGAATAGTTAATTAATTAAAATTCTCAAGGGAACAAACAACAGGTTCATCCAGTATTACTTATACTACATATTTGTTCCAATACCGACAGATGTATTCTAAATCAATCAATTAAACAATTGCTTCCAGAAAAATCCAAATCTATGTACGAGAAGAAATATCAGCAGTTTACCACAGACTACATATATTAGCAGATTTCATAAAACGTCAATATATTTCAATTTAACACAGTATTATTTTGATAGGTTCGGCGTAAAAAGCTCCTGATGCTACCTACTTACTAGTCTTAATAAAGAAAATGAATGATTTTCGATTTTTTTTTACTCATTTTTGACAGTTGGGGGATTAAAAACACTTATCAGTTTACAAAAAGCAGGCATTAAATTTGATAAAGACATGTCGATAGAAAAATAATTTACAATACATTTGTTCTACAAAAACTCACAAAAATTGAAAAACCTACTTATTGAATTTCTAATAAAGGATACAGATTCTGTCTGTATCCTTTATTAGAAATTCAATAAGTAGGTTTTTTTTCGATTGCGATAATAACTACCTCTTTGTAACAGATGAAGTACAAAAGTGTTGCACACAAGTCGTTATTTTAAAAGGTCTGTTCGCTGTGAAAAAGAATTTTATTAACGTTACCTAACAGTTTCAGCTAATAATTGAACAAATATAGCACCAAAGTTATTTCGAAAGTCATCGTGTGACGCTCCTCTTTTCATTTCTCATAATACATTTTATTGGAAAAGTAAAAGGACGCCAGGCGTTATTCTTTCTCGAGTTGAATACACGTCAAGAGTGATTTTACTTAGTGCGGCAATTTAAAGATGGAAATGCTTTAATGTATCAGTTTTGCTCTCCGAGAAGTTAAGTATCGATTTAAGCTTAGTAGGTACGTAGAAGTCTTATTAAAACGATTTCCAACAACGCAGAGGGTTCCTGAATTGCTTATGAACGTTACCGTCTAGCGAAAATGGAACAGACTGCCACCGTGATTAATTTCCCACAAGTTGCTAATGCTAAAGTACGTTATTAAGAATGATCCTTCTAGGTTAGATTTAATATACCTACTGTTGGGACGAATTTTAAGTGATTCTGAAGACAACCCAAATTAAGGTAATCATTAGCATCGCTTGCGTTTGGACAGATTTACGATTTACTTTGTCATTTCGCGAAACTCGGCTTGAGAAAGTGGACTTTGGATTGTTCGACGGGAATTACTTTATTTTAAACAGTGCCGCGTTATAAGTGGGCTTACAAAAATTGCTCATTTGCATGCCGTCGGAGAAAAAGACAAACGGAACAACACAACAGTTGCATGTTCAAAGATGTAGTATAGTGTTGGCAAATAGAAATGGCACACCTAACTTTTAAGACCTTAATAGGATTAACATAAAAGTTTGAACTTCTATCAGGTAATGTTCATTACAATTCTATTTGTGAATAAACATCTGCACAGGAGCGAAATGAAGATGAATCTAGTAAAGCAACATTGAAAATAAGGCCAGACCAGGTAGACAAGAAACCAATAGAAGGATAATAAACATTATGTGACAGAAGTTCATTCTTTCATGGTAATTCTGTTCCCGCCTTAAAAGTTAGGTCGGCCACTTGCATTTTCCAGGACTATACTGCTTCTTGTTAGTAAGGAACGCAAAACCGTCCAGTTACAGCATGGGCGTAAAGTGGGATAAGGGCGGCAGTAGCCCCCGCTGAGTCATGCAGCGGCTGAGGACCACCTTCAAGCGGTCCCGTACTCCAACAGGAGCAGAAATGAAGACTCAAAGCAGTCTGGAAGTACCCAAGCAGGTGCGCTCCGCCTCCTTCGACGAGATCCAGTTGGAGGCGAAGCGACTGCAAGCTGGTGCGGGGCAATCGTCGGATCCCTCGTCGCTGCTTAGAGTACCTCAGTTTCCGGGACAGCGATCCCGCAGCGTCGACTCAGGAGGTAGCGAGGAATCGGGAAACTTCTTAGAGGTGCCGTCGCGACGATTCCAGCGGCGACGGTCATCGAGCAGCAAAAGCCCCGTGTGCGTGCACTGCTTGTGCTTAGAGGAGTACGCCAAGCTTTATCCGAGCGAAGAACTAGGGGCGGAGGCTTCCGACCAACCACAGCTGGCGATCAGCATCAGCGATTCCTCCAGGTTGGTCCCTGTCGATCTCTGTTTTTTGTTTTTCTATTTATTACTATTATTATTATTATTATTATTATAAAAATTATTCATGAACTCGAAAGAATTAAATTATGTATATGTCCACTGGAGAGGAATATTTTAGTACAACGTAACTGTATTGTACACCATAATCTCATCGGCAGTATGTTGTAAAGTAATAAATTAAAAATCAGATAAATCTCACCAAAAGATGAGTTCAACACAGGGTCTTAAATCGGACTGAATCACCAAGGTATCCATCTCTTTTTTTTATTTCCAGGGTCACGTTTCTGTTTATCGTTATCTTTTTTCGGAGATTAGTTAATTGTATTTTTGTACAATGAGCTTGTTCCATGTCGAACTCACTGGTGTCCGTTTCTGACAGCGAATGTGACGAAGAAGTGCTCCCAGAATGCGCCATCACTGTCACTCTATCGCCCATGTTACCATCACCACCAATGCAGTCGCCTCCGCCCTTGCCCACATCTCCAGTCATAGAATTCTTCCCAACCGAAGATGTGCAGACGCCTTCGACGCCGTCAAGACGCAAATCGATCCATCGCCAAGAAGCGTTTTTCGCAGAACCGACGGGAACGTCTTTGGAGAACATGTCCGATGGTCAGTCCGAGCTGTGTTCGGAGGGTACGTCCGAAGGAGCCTTGTCGGAAGGTGATGCTGTCAATACCACGATCCCTGGATTGGTAGTGCGCGACATCTACCTTCAAGTTCCGGATCTGAAAAGGGATAGAGCGGCGTCGGTCGATTCGTGTTTTTCGAAAGTTTCACAAGGGAAGACCGAAGAGCTGCAACATTCAGGGGTTAGTCTTGAAGTACCCGTCGGGCCAAACGTGGCCCTGAGGTCCAGGTCCGTCGATATTGTTTTGCCGACTGACGAACATGCTAGATACAAGGCCTTGGCGATGGCTGCGGCGGCAGCGGCGCCGGGTACTTCTTCGTCGTACTATAAGGGGTACGTTTGGTGTTGCATGACGTGTAGTATGTAGCACTTGAAAATACTTTTTTTAGTTCTTTTTTTCTTCATTCAAATGCAACACAATGCAGTTCATTAATTGCACGTACGGAGTGTACCACTTTAGATGATTCCGTTTTAAATGGAGGGATTATTAGAACATTTCCACAGCTGTCTGGCCTATTAGATTATTCCTTGCAATAATAATCGTGTACTAAACTGCGTAACTAGCTGTTGCGTGTACCGAAAAATATGAATAGATAAAGGTAATTAATAATTGTGTCCTTTGGTTTGTAAATGGCTTAAAAATCGACGACAAAATGTTAATTCGATGTAAAGATTTAGCACCTGGGTCATCCAAGGACCGTTTTTAAAAAACTTTTATGTTTTGTACACTTATTCCTACATATTTTCGTACTTAAAAAATAAAAAAAATAGACTCTCCCAGTACAGTCATATTTGTAATGCATGAAAACGCGTTGTCGTCTGAAATGGATGTTTGAAGGTTGTTTCACGTGGAGGAAGTGAGTTGAATAAAAACTTGCGCGGCCATGAATAGTATTCTTGGTGCATTTCAGTTGTATCATAATAAAATTTTATGATTTTAACAACCCCGTAAATGTGGTCGGCTTCTGTGGATATTTGTCACATCTGCCCTGAGTGATTTATAAATTGGTCCATTCGAAATAATACGCCCCTGCCTTTTTACCTACGAAGCGCACGACTGCGGTCAATTATTATTAATAATACAGCCCTATTCTTATGTGATGACGGTTGCAACGAGTCAACCAACCTATTGCTGTCATAAAATTTTATTTGGATACAGATGGAATGCACCAACAGTAATCTACAGGATGTCCCAGCTAAAACTCCGTGGCCTTATAAGTATCTTGAGAACTCATAGAGGTATTGAAACTTAAAACTCACACTTTATTTTATAATCAGCAAGGTATGTTTCAAAAGCAGTTATTGTAGCATATGTTCGAACTGTCGTAAAATGGTGATATAGACCTGTATTTCACTCAACTTTCAATTTTTTATGTTTATAAAATTTTAATTTTTTTACTTCCTGAGCGTAAGCTTAACTCTTGACCCTTGAGTTGGGGACTATCTTTTTTCATTTGCAGATAGTATCTTTTTGTTTGAATTTTTCTGTTATAACAAAATAATTTTCGGCATTTTAAATTTTAATGACAGAAGTTAGAAATGTTGCAACTTGATAAGCCACATTGACAGACAAACTGTTTTGTCAATGAATCAGTTTACGCAACGTGAAGAAAAAAAATCGTGGATGACTTTTGTCTTAAAACACCCTAAACGGTTTATAATGCATCTGCACTATAGCACTTTTTTATTACAGTAACTAGTAAGTATTGTTATAATTTCTTTATGTAACTGCAAGATAACGTCACCATAATAGTATTATATAACTTTGTTATTCCACAATATAAACGTAACAACAATACAACTGCAGCATATAACATTTTTGTTATGTACCTAATTGCTGTAGGTTGTGTTCCCGAAAATTTATTTAAAAGTGTAAGTTAGTTAGATCGATAATACGAATAAATAAGTTTGCAGTTATTAAAAAAATTTAACATTCACGCAGCAAGATGTAAAACCTTAAATATGTATCTAATTTAACGGAAAGCAAAGATCAGCGCACTTGCGAAGTTGAAATCTGAATTCAAACCGGACATCTTACCACAATATTTAAATGGAATAATGTTCGAATTAAATGGAGCATTTCGCAAGCGACTAACGAGAAAGCTTACAGCGAACAGCTTAAAAAGTCTGCAGGAGAACGCAAGTCGCATCAGCAAACGGCCCGGTAAATCTTTCTACCAGCGTCACGCAATAAAGCTTGTCGCCAATGAGTTGCGTGCACGAATACACCGTCACTCAATTTCTGGTGCTTTACTACTACGTGAAATAAATAAATCATTTCGAATTACAACAAATGAATGGAAATAAAAGCCACCTTAATAACGCACATTTTTACACGATTCACGCCATACTACAGCACAACCTGTACGCCACCCCGTCATTACCATCAATTCCCCCATCTCTTGAATCCCCGCATAAAATTTTATTATCGGTGCAACACGAACTTGCACAAATTTGCAACAGTGTTTCGAAATTGTCGTTTGGTTTCCATTTTCGAGCTCGTTCCGTCGGCATAGTTCATTTTCATTAAAGTGACGTGTGGGCACATGCGGACGTGGAGGAAAACCGTCCGTAACTGATGTATTGTTCCCCGTAGTGTAATTCTGCATTTCTTTGGAAAAATACCCACCTTTGTGGGAGAAATGCGAAATTTTTGTTTGGAAATTTCGGTATCGATTTAATTGATGGACTAATTGCGGTTATTAGGAGTTAAATGTCAGACGGTTTATATCGTCGTCCGTTGTGGTCATGTTTAACCGGATCGATTATTGATTCGGAGTCGTGCAATTTCCGCTTCAAAGAACTTGACGTGACTGGTACAGAATGCTACTTTGAAAGGATGGGTTATGTTTGAATCATTAGGAAACAATAAATAATAACAATTTGTTGTGGGATAATAATAATGCATGATGATGGCTGGCGTAAAGGAGCTTTTGTATGATGATTTATTTCATTTACAATTTATATATGTGCACAAGAAGAATAAAAAAAAATAAATAATAAAATTTGCCTCCCATCCTCTCTAAAATCCAATGCACTTTTTCATTGCAATTTCGTTAAATCAATCAAATAAATCAAATTAACCCACATTTTCGTATTGCACAAGCTGTGAAACGTTGACGAAACATGAAATTAGACATTCGTTCAAATGGTCTTACTATTTCAATACTTCTGAACGTCTCTAATTTAGGCTCAGGAAGCACAAACCTAATTTGAAGCTCATGATGTTAATTATCATTCAAGTAACGTTTTCCTGTGAATACAATAAATACGAAGTAATTTCGGATTAACTATCACTTCTCCAGTTCAAACATTTGCTCGATATACATATTTTCCTTCGTAATCATTCGTGATGGAAATTTTTAGACGATGATATTACTGGTTGCATAATATACCCTACTGTAGCTGAAATATGCGACTTTTTAATGTTTACATTTAAAAACCTACTTGGTAATTGAATGCATCTTTACATTTTTATTATTAGTTAATCAATCAATGTGTGTCTATCATATTTATTTTAACGAATTATGCCAAATTTTAACGTCATATATTGTGTTATGACTCGCATAAGAGAGATTCTAAATACACAACAATATCAAATCGATAACATACACATAAATCTGTTAACCACAGATAAAAGCCAGCTTTTTCTATATAATCTCTGAAATTGCTGGACTGCTTACTGTGAAATTTTAAGTGTACCAACTATACAGTAAAAATTTCCCAGTTCCCACCCCCGACAGGAGCGACTTGTCCTATTAGGATGGCGAGGCATTGTCTCAGCAATGACTTTGGGCTGTATTATTATTTCTAGTATTTCTCACCGATACATTTCCGCCCAATATTTTTTTCTGGTATTTTAAAAGTAAATCTTATGTTGGTAATTGGATATTAGCTAGCTGTTTCGAAGATTCTTGAAGAAACTAGAATAATCTGAGAGAATTTAAGGGAATGTGATAGTATTCGAGAGAATCTGAGAAATTCCGAAAGAATCTGAAAGCATCTGACAAAATTCGTGGGAGTTTATAAAAATCTGAGAGAATCTCGAAGAATCTTGTAAAATTTAAAAGAATCTAGAAAAATCTGGAGAATCTCGAAGAAATTGGAAGAGTCTACAGGGATCTGAAAGGATTTGTAAAGATCTCAAACAATCTGAACAGAACTGAATTTTTTTTAAAAATCTTGAGGATTTCGATTCGAAAGGTAGAGCCATAAATAAAATGAAAGAATTTGAAAGAATCTGGAGAAATTTGAGGGAATCTGGAAGAATCTGAACGAGTTTGCAGGAAACTGCGGTGTGATGAAAGGTGAGAATCTGGGAGGAATTGATAGCTTCGAAAAGAATCTGAAGGAATCTGAAAGAATGTGAGGGAACTTATGAGAATCCGAGCGCATTTTGAAGAATTTTGAACAATGTGCAGATCTGTAAGTGTCTGAAACGATCTGTACAGAACTGAAAAATTTGAAAGAATCTTGAGGATTTTATTTTATTTATTTACGGGATATCCCCATCTCCCTGCCATATGTGTTTACCAATCTTGAAAGTCGGTCCTGACGGTGTCTTTGAAAGAACCTGAAACAATTCGGAAGCATCGAAAATCATTCGAAATAATCTGAAAGAATCTAAAAGAGAGAATCAGAATGAAAATGAAAGAATCTGGAGGAATTTAAGGTAATCTGAGAGAATTTGAGAGAAATTGGGATATTCGGAAAGAATTTAAAGGAATTTGGTAAAATCTGAAAGAATCTGGGGGAACCTAAGAGAAATTGGGATATTCGGGAAGAATCTGAGAGATTCGGAATAAATTTGAAGGAATCTGAGGGAACTTGTGAGAATCTAGAAGAATCTGGAACAGTCTGCAGAGATCTGAAAGGATCTAAAGCGACCTGGAAGAATTTTATAGGATCTGAAACGATTTGAAAGGATCTGAAAAATTTTGAGGAGATCTCAGGGAATCCTGATTTTAGAATTTTTAACGTGCTTAATGTTTCTGAAATTTCATTTTTTCCGAAAAAATTAAAACATTACCACGACAATATAATTTTTTCGACATTTAGATATTGGAGCATCTAGTGCCTTGCCTCATCAACTTCTCAACTCATGAACGGCCCCCTAGCCATTCTGCACCGCCCAAAATTTGATGACATTTTGCATAGTAAATTTTTATATTGTGACAACTGGATTTGTTCTATTGTACTTCAGGGGCGAGGGAAATTCTGGACGATTATGATGTTTGCGTATATTTGTACATTTCTCACAGCTATAATTTTTTCCTTTTATAGTTTTGACACATTACTTTCTCAACCCTAAACCTGTCAGGCATTTAGCTCCG